GTCTCCAAGGCTGTCAGTCTTCACAGAAGCAAAGCCCAAACCACACCCACTGCCCTGGAGTCCATTCTGACCCACAGCACCCCTAGAAGACAGAGTGGAACTGCCCACAGGGTCTCCCAGGCTGTCAATCTTCACAGAAGCAAACTGCCTCGACTTTCTCCCATGGAGCAGCTGGTGGGTTCAAATCACTGACCTTTCAGTTAGTCACCAAGTGCTTTGACCACTGTACCAACCGGACTCCCTAGGGACCCAGGAAGAGCTCAGGAAACTGGCTTCCTCCCTTCCATTTCCTCAGAGCTTTGGAACCAGCTTGCCTCGGCCATTTTATTTGCAAGTCATGTTTTGAGCTCTTTTTCCCCAGTGTTTCCTGAATTGAAGAAAGGCAGGTTGAGTGTAGTGCGCCTTTGAAACAAGCTAACTCAGTGGACGTCAGCTTAAGTGGCCTCTTCCAGTCCTGGGCTGACTTGCCAAGGCACCTTCCTGCCGAGGCTGGTGAGGGGTCAGGGAGAGGTGGAGTCCAGCGACCCCTCATGCAGGGGTTAGTGCTTGGTGGGCTCTGCTCAGTGGCTCCTGGCACCCGCTGTGGACCATGTGGACTTGGATTGACCCTGTGGTCCTGGGCCCCCCAGTCTGTGCTTGCAGAGGGGCCGGGAGTGTGGAGCTGTCTGGAGGGTTCCTGGGGTCCTGGCCGGGCCCGTGTTCCCGAGGCAGCGTCTGGCCCTGGCACCGAGAGCAGGCCTTGTCCTCACAGGCCCCCTTTTCTCTGGAACCTCTTCGCTCCACAGTCTCGCTCCTGCCGCCCTTCCTCGGGTGCCCTCCCCAGGCCCAGCTGCCCGTTCAGTTCCTGCTGGACCTCGGAGAGATGTCCTCATCTCTGAGAAGCCGCTACCATTTGCCTGACGCCTGATTCTTGGGCTCCGGCTTGGTGCACGGCCCTGTTTGAGGTACGGGAAGCAGCCTTGAATGAGGCCGGGTTCCCCTCTGCGGGTGTCTCCACAGACAAAGCCTTGCTTTATTTCGCTTTGTTCCCACTAACCCTTTAGCATGTCCCGCGGTCGGTGTGTCCGACACTTTTGAATGGCTCACTCTTCCCACCAGACGTGAGCTCTTGAAGCTGGGCCAGGGCTCCTGGATGCTTCACTGTGGTCAGTCGTTCCTGTGTGACTGGGAGAAGGCACTAGGCTGACATGGCCGTGCAGAGTGTATGTGGGTGCAGGCTCTGGGACCTGATGAGTCACTCAGCCTCTCTGGTCTGTTTCCTGCTCCCTGATGGGCATGCTGAGCCCCATAGCTGGGCTTGTGTGGAACGAAGGCCCGAATGCAGGGTGTCTGAGCCCCGAGCTGTTCTGCGGAGGAGGCGGAGGCTCCGGGGTGGGTCACCTGGGCATCTCTCTAGGACCCCGTGGGGCATGGGGAGCACTTTGGTGGGCATTGGAGCTTAATTAGGGAGGAGGCTGTGTTGCCACGGGCAGAGGTGGGTAGCCCCGTGTCTCAGTTGCGTGACCCGTGTCGAGGGGTAGCCCCGTGTTTCGGTTGCGTGACCCGTGTCGAGGGCGTAGCCCCGTGTTTTGGTTGCGTGACCCGTGTCGAGGGGTAGCCCCGTGTTTCGGTTGCGTGACCCGTGTCGAGGG